AGCAGGTAGTGTGGTCGAAAGGTCAACATCGAGTGAACAGCTGCGCTGTCTGATAGTACGCCACCCTGGAATCCTAGGTCGAGAAGTGTCTCGGAGCGGAATAGTGCAATAGCCGTGCCGGGACCGCTTCGTAGTGCTGGACAAGGGATATGAGGAAGATGAGCGGGGATATGAAGGAGATGAGCGATTGGGGATAGGACTTCTACGACTCATCGTTTTGCATCACTATAGGACCGAGCGTAGTTTTGCTCAAAAAAAAGCCAAATGGAGACGTCACGACTAGTGATAACTCTGACAAATAGAGATTAGACGAGTGGAACCAAATAAGAGTGACTGGCCGACAAAGGAATGCTTGAACAATGAAAACAAAAATGAAAAGGAATCTCAACAATAGGAGTAGGGAGAAGAAAGCGAGCTCCTGTATCACCGAAATTTCTGCACTTACGTACCAAGAAATCCAGACGTCTAGGCGCAGTTTGCACTTCATCTCTTCACCGCCTTCTGCGTGTGGAGTGGGTGTTCCCCCAAACATTCCCAAAAAAATAAAGGGTCAGTCGGATCGGTCGGTTTCGTAGTCTGCGATGCGGCCATATTACCCAAGTTGTTTTTTTTTCGAAAAATTCTATATTTTACCCTTTCATTCACCGTATGTGCCCCTAGAAGGCAGCTCTGAAACTTTTCTGTATCTCACTTATCCTGCAGATTTCTTGAGGACGCATTGGTGGGTTTGAAAGTTGAAGCCGTAGAGCAGTATTCTCCTGCTGTTCGGCTGCTTCCACATGTTCAGCGTAGGTACGCAAAACCTTTTAGATTATCAGAACGAAGCCGAGTGTATGTAGAAGAAGTGATAGTTCGCCAATTCGTTGAGGAGGTGTATAGTACTTTGACTGAAGCCTCGTTGCAGTTACGTCTGCATTCATTCCCCCTACCCATTTCCAATCGTTACCCACTTTTCCCGCTCTCTTAGCCCCTTTTAGACTGAACCACGAAGTTCTGATTGGGGCCACAGACGTTGCCGTTTATAGGAAGCACGATAGGATAGTCCAGTCCGATGGGTTACCATGGCCTTATTCCAGCCTCTTATCAGGCGAAACCTTGCTTACTTTCCCAAGAGCGAGTCACTGATTACATAACTGCATAAGTACACTCTTGCTCGCTACGGGAAGGGATGAAGGGACGTATCAGACGTCATGGATTTGGCGCGGGGACCGAACGCGTTCTCCACCAGTTGCTGAAGCGACAACAATTGTTGGAAACGACTGATACGGAAGATATGGTACAGTCTTGTAGTTTGCTCGCTTTAACAGCTGGTCGAGAACAGGTTCGGCGCCGCGCCAACGCCAGCCCGCCACACGCCCCTTCATCCGCAGCGAACGAGACTGTAGCTGGATGTGTCGCCATTCTAATACAGTAGGCATTTGGGGGCTTGGGGGCACAGCACCCAAGTTACTACCACGACAAACAACATCCTTCTTCACCTCCTATTTTCGCATAGAAAAAACCTCTATTTGCTCGAGGAAATTTATTTGAACCCCCAAAGCTCCTTCATCAACAATACAACAAAA